AAACCACATGAGGACTTGGAGTGCTAGGTGACCAAACCTTATATGCACTTCTCATACAGGTCAAAGTTTAATTACAATTATATTGTTGAGTCCCTATGAGGCTCCTGCATGTCACTAGGGAGATCCTCTGAGACCTCCACGAGGACCCTCAGTCACCTGAGAGTGTCTGCTTACACAGACTGGGAGGAAGATGTGCCTCATATCTTTGGTGTCAATTCATCTCCAGGTGCTCATAGTTATTTTAGTTTTCCACTGGCAGGCAGTTATCCCTTTTTAACTAGAATTACTGCCTTGATCTCCCAATCCTGGACAAGAAGGAAGAGTAAAACAGTCTTTTTTCCAGCCTTGTGGCCAGAGAACTTACAGTTTGTGAAATCCAAGTTGTGGTGCCAAAAAGATGTTACCAATTAGGGTCATTGGCTGGGAGTCTGGTTCTTCTTGTCAATACAGAAAATATTTTAAGGTCAACAAAAATGAAAGTAAAGCAAAGTGAGGTTTATTGAAGATAAATGAGTGGTGGGCCAGTTAAGAGACACAATGACCTTGAACTCCTGGGTTATATTGTTTAAATGAGGGATTTTCTGGGTGGAGACTTTCATTTGCATTCAGGGATGATTGACAAAAAAAATAGTTACATAACTATATTTTTTCTGCACATTCTCTTACCCATATACATACAGAAAAATATATTGAGGGGTGTGTGTGTGTCCAAAACCACAATGCCAATTTTATTATAATTGGTCCAGGACTCTAGTAAGGTCACATTGAGGTCATGTCATTTTCTTCTGAGCTTGTGCCAAGAATCCACTGGTGGTCTGCTGGATGCTGGGCTGTGCATAGAGAAATGAGCTGAAGGCAATGTTAGTCTGACCCTTGTTCAGGACCCCATGGTAGGCCCCACCCCAGTTACTTATGTCTAACTCCTAACACCGCTCTCATTATCTTACTTTCTTTTCCTTTTCTTTTTTATGAAACACAAGCACCCCAGAGGCAGGCCTGCCACCTGGAGTTCACAGAGTTCTTCAAGGAAGTCAGGGTTTGGAGATTCTCTTTTGTAATTTCCATCATGTCAGTCCAACCAAGTAATTATATGCTGGCCAATTAAGAAAATACTTCTGCCTACACCTCAGGGCCTGAGCCCTGGGTGTCAGACTCCAAGCCATTCAGGGAGAATGAATAATGGATATGAGAAAAAAAGGGAGAGGAAGACTGAGAGAAGAGAAGAGCGGTCTGATCTGTATAGAGAGAGGGGAACCTTAGCCTGAATATCAACTGTGCTTTATCTGTGTGACCCTAGATCAGTTTCTTCAGAGTGATATGGTTGGAATACATAATCCTGAAAACCATTATTTTCTAAAATTGTATTAAGGGAAAGAAGATGGGAAAAGGAGACAATAGATATGTTGGGAGGTATTCACATACAAAGGTCCTCAAGTGCTACTTAGAACCTGAAAAAGAAATTCAGCAGCTGTCTCAGTAATGTTTCCTAAATGCAAAGTTATGCATATTTGGATCTGAGAACCCCTGATGGGCTCTAAATTCTATTTTAAAGTTTTGTTTATTTTGAGGCAATCTAAAATATATCACTTTAAGTATATTCTAGTTCATTTCTAGGAATATCTTGTAACTGCAGGATGATTAAATTTACAAGCATGTAGTAGTGGTAGAGAATTTTATTTCCGTTAAAAGGTTGGAGAAATTTTGTTCTGGTATTTAATATCTACAGACTTTCTTCATTTTATCTAACCCCAGTCACTTGCTATAAATTTATATTGAATTACAAAACCAGAAATTTGAAAGGAAATAACGCACATTTAATTTGGAGTAAAAATTAGTGTGAGCAGTGCCATTTATTTATTTATTTATTTATTTTAAATATTTTATTGATTTTTCACAGAGAGGAAGGGAGAGGGATAGATAGAAACATTGATGAGAGAGAATCATCGATCAGCTGCCTCCTGCACCCCCCCACTGGGGATGTGCCCGCAACCAAGGTACATGACCTTGACCGGAATCGAACCTGGGACCCTTCAGTCTGCAGACGGTCGCTCTATCCACTGAGCCAAACCGGTTCGGCATGAGCAGTGCCTTTTAATTCCAAGAATGTGGGAGAGAGTAACATAAACTATGCTTTGATTGCCTATATCTGAAAATGTGGCAAGCATTTCTTTGTTTATAAGTAAAAAATAGACATTATTTCTATGATCTATATTAGAAGTTGATAAGCTTTAAAAAGAATTAGGTCTTGAGAGATCCAAGATGGCTGCGCCCAGGTGAACACCTAGCCGCAGCCACACACAACAATTTCAATAAAATACAACTAAAATATAAAACGGACATTGCCCAGAACTACAGGAAGGTTGACTGACTGGAAATTCTACAGCGAGAAGCAAGGAGAAAACCAGAAGGAGGCGTGGAGGAGCTGGAAAAGCCCAAGGTACGGAGACGCGGTGAGCGGAGAGGACGGAGCCAGAGAGGAGGGAGGCCAAGTGCCTGGCGGGCGTTCCCTAGCGGAAAGGAGATAAAACTCCGACTGTACTGGGCCCTCGACTGCTCTGAACCCCAGTTCTAGGCCAGACCCCGGGGACTCAGGCTCAGCCATAGGGAGCCGGGCTGTAAGGCAGAACCCCCGGGAGTGGCGAAAGGAGGTCCCGGAGGCGTGCACACTGCGCCAGAGAAGGCACGGTTGGCTGTGCTGCGGGATTGCCCTGGCGGGAAGGAGACTGGGGCTCCAGACTGCTCTGAACGCCACCTCCAACTCCACTTCCAACTGAACTGAACCCCAATACCGGGCTCATTGGGGGAGAGCATAGACTGTTTGGCAGCAGGCAAAAATCGAGGGCACCTTTCTCTCAGAGGCGCCGGCAGCGAGCACTGAAGGACCCGCATAGGGCGGGGCTGACGGAAGCCAAAGCTGCAGGCTTCACCCTGAAACCCCGTCCCATCTGTAACTGCGAAATGCAACAACGAAATAGATCACAAACGAAAGAAATGGAGGACAAAAAGCGTCTGGATATAGAGTTCAAATCTACGCTTATAAGGTTTTTCAAGAATTTCCTAGAAAAGATGGATAAGGCCTATGAGGATATGAAAAGAGATCAACTAGAATTAATAAGGAGTCATCAAGAAATGATAAGGGATCAACAAGAAATAAAGAATACATTGTCTGAAATAAAAAATATTTTACAAAGTCCTAAAAACAGAAGGGAAGATCACAAGAATCAAGTCAAAGATTTGGAACATAAAGAGCCAGAAGACACTCCTCCACAGAAGCTAGAAGGCAAGAGAATCCAGAAAATTGAAGATAATGTAAGAAACCTCTGGGACAACTTCAAGCGAACCAACATCAGAATTATGGGCGTCCCAGAAGATGAGAGAGAGCAAGATATCGAAAACATACTGAAAGAAATAGTGACAGAAAACTTCCCCCACCTGGGGAAAGAATTAGACTTACAAGTCCAGGAAGCGCACAGAACTCCAAACAAAAGGAATCCAAAGAGGACCACACCGAGACACATCATTATTAAAATTCCAAGAGCAAAAGACAAAGAGAGAATATTAAAAGAAGCAAGAGCAAAGAAGGTAGTAACCTATAAAGGAGCACCTATATGATTGTCAGCTGACTTCTCAACAGAAACCATGCAGACCAGAAGGGAATGGCAAGAAATATTCAAGATGAATAGCAAGAACCTACAGCCAAAAATAATCTACCCAGCAAAGCTATCACTCAGAATCGAAGGCCAGATAAAGAGCTTCACTAATAAAAAAAAAAGCTAAAGGAGTTCATCACCGCCAAACCAGAATTATATGAATGCTGAAGGGGGTTCTTTCAGAAGAGAAAGTAAACAAAGATAAAAATTATGAACAACCAATACGTAATTATCAACAAGTGAATCTAAAAACCAAGGAAATTAAAAAAATCTGATGAACAATATTAACTGTTGAATATAATAGAATCAGAGGTATGGAAGGGGAGTGAACTGACGATTCTTGGGGAAAAGGGGAGAGTGGGGCGTGGGAAGAGACTGAACATAAACTGTGCACCTACGGATGAGGACAATGGGGAGAGGGGAAAGGGCAGAGGGTGGGGTGGGAACCTGGTGGAGGAGAGCAATGGTGGGGGGGAGGGGGAAAGGAACATTTGTAATAATATGAACAATAAAAACTTATTTAAAAATAAAAAAATAAAAAATAAAAAGAATTAGGTCTCTTTTAGGTATTTATAAAGAGAAATGGATTTATAATTGTTGGTAAAATAAAATTTAAACTTCATTTATTGTTTCCTCTGAAGTATGAAAAATATTACTTAAGTGTATACACTATACACTTAAGTAATATTTTTCATATTATTGTGTCCAATTTTAATTTTTTACTTATATATGTACCAGAAGAGCTATTTGATATTTTAGGCATTAAGTATTTTGTATTAAATATTATAAACTTACTTTTACTTATTCTTTTAAATATGTTTTTATTGATTTTTAGAGAGAGAGGGGAAGGGATTGGGATAGAGAGATGGAAATAACAATAAATAGAGAGAAACATTATCGATCAGCTGCCTCCTGCACGCCCCCTAGCGGGGATCAAGCCTGCAACTCGGGCATGTGCCCTGATCAGAAATCAAGCTGTGACCTCCTAGTTAATGTGTCAACATTTAACCTCTGAGCCATACCTACTGGGTGAGCCTACTTTTAAAGTGAATGAATGTGAGATTAAGAAAATAATGGAAGGACCTGATTTACTTGTTCTGTAAACTGATGGTAAACATGGGTTGCAATTCACTTTTATTTTAAATGGACTCATGGAAAAAGCACAAATAAGAATTAAAACAAGTTGGCATTTAAGTCACATGTCTTACTAATCTGTAATTGGTGATATGAAAATTAACTTCACAGTAGATAGTCACATTTCTTCAGGTTACAAAGGTCAATCAGAAGAGAATGGTGATACAGCTAAACTAAAGATGGTGCAGGTATTTGAAGACTGTTTTTGTCTCATAGGTGTGCATTTATATTATGTTGGGGGAGAGGTCTATGCTGAGTGTGTGAGCGACAGCAGCATCTTTGTCCAGAGTCGGAACTGCAACTATCAGCACGGTTTCCACCCAGCCACTGTCTGCAAGATCCCCAGTGGTTGTAGCCTCAAGATCTTCAACAACCAGCTCTTTGCTCAGCTGCTTGCTCAGTCAGTTCACCATGGATTTGAAGTAGTCTATGAGTTAACTAAGATGTGCACTATCCGGATGAGTTTCGTTAAGGTAAGGAGTGCTTGCTTCCACATTGAAGATGGAAACTGAAAACCAAAAAAGGCATTCTTTGGCTGATGTGGCACTACACAGCCAGTTTTAGTAGATTGCAGGGTTGGGTTTTTTTTTTTTTTTTTTCTTTGAAGTTTATTTCATTGTTTGTAGGAAGATCTCTTCTATGAATATGATCTCTCTTGTTTAGCAATTATAAGAAAATTCTTAAGCATAACACTTTTGAAGGAAAAACAACTTAAAGTAGTTATCTGATGTTTAATGCAGAAGATAAAGTGACAATAATCCTATCTAATAAAAGAATAATATGCAAATTGACCATCCCTCCAACACACAAGATGACTGCCCCCATGTGGACACAAGATGGCCACCACAAGATGGCCAGAAGGGGAGGGCAGTTGGGAGGCACCAGGCCTTCAGGGGAGGGCAGTGAGGGGTAACCAGGCCAGCAGGGGAGGGCAGTTAGGAGCAATCAGGCTGGCAGGGGAATGGTTAGGGTGATCAGGCTGGCAGACAGAAGTGATTAGGGGCAATCAGGAAGGCAGGCAGGTGACAGTTGGGAACCAGCAGTTTTGGGTTGTGAGAGGGATATCTGACTGCCTGTTTAGGCCCAATCCTACCGGGATCGGGCTTAAATGGGCAGTTGGACATCCCTCCAGGGGTCCCATATTGGAGAGGGTGCAGACTGAGCTGAGGGGCACACACCCCTGTGCGTGAATTTTGTGCACCGAGCCTCTAGTATTTTTATAAGATGCGAGGTTATAGAGATTTTTCCAACTCTCAAATTGCCAAGCATGATTATCCTACATAATAATAGAGTAATGTGAAAATTAGCCACCACTCTGCTACAATGACTCTCTCATTGATGTTTCTAACTCTCTATCTCTCTCTCTTCCTCTCTGTATAAAAATCAATAAAATATATTTAAATATATATATATATATATATATATATATATATATGCTATAAAAACCAGTGTGGATTGGGGATCAGTGACACAGAGGCTGCTGGAGACCCATCTGTTCCTCTTAAAAGGCCAGCACCACAAATTAAACTTACATGATCCTGATTCCTCTGAGCCCCAGCACAGGGCAAGACTCTGGGGGACACAGACAAATACAAGGAGAAACTGGATTGTCTGGCATCATATCAGAAACTCAAGGTGGCTTTCTCCCAGATATAGATGCTCACAGGGATCATTGTTCCTATGCTGGGACCTCCTAGGTCACAGGGCTGACTGGCAACCATTTCTGTTTGCTTTTCCCTGATGATTCTCTAACACACTGTGCCTCATCCAATTTACAACTCCACCAAAGCTGTGTGTAGTGTATTTTGCATATGAATGGCCTGCCCTTGCTCAGGCTAAACTGTCTCTAATGAGCTGCAGCTGGGTCAGGAGCCCCAAACTTATGAATAAAAGGCTCAAGACCTGGCAACAGCACCAGCCTGCCTTGCTTCATAGCTTGTTATAGGAACTTCCAAACCTGACACAAAGAGGAGGGATCTAAAGATCTCTTTGTAGCTACTGCTGGGTAGCCCCAGGCAGTGGCTGACTTCACATTTCCCTGGAGACCCAAGAGCCAGTGTACCCAGTGGTCAGTGTCAGGCTATACCAGATTACAATTCTACACATCTATAAGCAACACACTCAAGGGGAAGAATCAGTGAGCATCAAAGTTCTGCTCCATAGGGATGTCTCCTACAGAGCAGCTCTCCCTCTGTAATTACAGCTGGTTATCACAGCTAATTGGCTTGGAAGTCAATTCCTGACAATGACACCAACAGCAATCAAGTCTCAGCTACAACAAGACTGTGCTCACAGTCCATAAAGGGGTGCTACTAGAGTTCCCAGCTCACATGATTGGCAAGGCTGAGCCACTGGATCTTATAGAATACTTACTACACATGGGCACTCTACCAACTGAAGGAGACTTAGCAGCTTTACCTAAAACAGAAACACAGGGAAACAACCAAAATACAGAGACAAAGAAACATGTCACAAATAAAAGAAATGGAAGAAAGCAAACTACTGGATATAGAGTTCAAAACCATGGTTATAAGTTTACTCAAGAATCTTCTAGAAACCTGCAAAAAATGGAAAAGAACCATTCAGAAATTAAGTATACACTGACTGAAATAAAGAATAATATACATGGATTCAACAGCAGAGGAGAGGATTCTGAAAATCAAATCAATGATTTAAAATATGAGGAAGCAAAAACCACCCAATCAGAAGAGCAAAAAGAAAAAAGAATCCCGGCTATAGCTTATATTTCTTACTGCCCAGAGGGATTTCTTTTCCCAGCTCTGGGGCACTCAGCTAGGGATCTGGTGTGGGTCTGGAAACCCTTGCTTCTTTTGGCAGCCTCCACAGAAATGATCTCCCTCCCAATTAAAAAAGCAGCACACATGAGTGCCAGCCCAGCCCATTCCATGCCTCTGCACCTCCTACCAGTCTCAGTGTGCTTCCTTCTTTACTTCTTTAGTTAAAGGACTTCCACACAGCCAGCTTTACAACAGTTCTGGATGAAGGTTCTTCTGTGTTTTAGTTGTAATGAGAAAAATGTAGATAATGAAATACTCGCTGATTAATAATATTTTGCTTTGAGAAAGCCAGAAATGATTCTAAGACATAAGCAATAAGATAAAAAAATATATATATATAATAAATATGCTGTATCTCTTTTTAAGCCAAAGCATGCTTTTCCCCTCAGGACAGTTCTCATTTTTACATTCTTGGTCTCTTTTGTCCAGAACAGGAACCTTTTTTTTGAGTCAGTATTTGAATAGAGTTCATAATCCAAAGTCATTTTTTTCTCCACAGGATGATTTAAGCTGCAAAATGGCAAAAGACTAAGTCAGTTATAAAGCATTTTTAGTATAATAAATGTCAATTTACAAGAACTGTCAATAGACTTCTATACAGAACCCTAAAAGTTGCTACAGTAGTGGTGAGAACTAACATGATTCTTCCATATGCTCAGAAAAGAAACCTTATAGGGTCCTTCCAAAGCTGCATAATTTCCCAAATGAGTTTCCTCTGGTTACGGAGTCTGTTCATTCCTGCAGTCATTTTTCAGTCATTTAGCTTTTGCAATATTTTCTTGGTGTTTTTGTTTTTTCTTTTGCTCCTTTTCCCTGGTCTCAATCTTCTTGGCCAGTTTCCAGGACAGTACAGCACTTGCTAGAAACCATGGAGTAAGGGCCAAAATAGTTATATAAGGAAGCCATATGGATCCTTTGCAGTCCATTCCATAACATGCTCAGCCCAAGTCTTTGTGTCAAACATCTTTGTAGCAGTGTTAGGAAAAGGGTCTTATGCTTGAGTTGTGATCTCTAACTTTGTCCTCTATTAGTGAGCCTATTACAATTTCAGATGGATGACCCCTGGTTGGTTGTCTTCTTTAGCTCTACTACACACTTTGAGAGAAGGTTTAAATTCTATATGCTTGGACTCAGACTCCAATTCCCAACTCCTGAAATCCAACTTTTAAATAACTTTACAGAGAATCAATTTTCCCAATAACAAAACTAATTTGCTTTACTGGATCTGTCCTCATTTTAAAAAATAACTTTTCATACAGAGAAAAAATATACAAACTTATTTACTTACCTATTCATTTAGTTAGTTATTTGCTGCCTCTCCTATTAACGGTAATAAATAGGAAATTGCTAAAAGTGAGCCAGAGAAAAAGGAGGAATAAGTTTTGAAATCAATCCTGAAAAATGAAGAGCATCCTCTAGTTCTTCCTTTATAAGTTTCAGATCCATCTTTGGTCTGCAGTTACCATTTTGTTCAAAACACTGTCTTCAGCCTTATGGGGGTGAACATAAGTTCAAGTTTCTTCCCTTGTGGGGAGAAAATGAGTTGCCATTGTTTCTGACATGACTAGAGCCTAAACATGTATAGGTTCATGCATTTAGTTGTGACCCAAAGAAAAGCATTGATTTGGACTTATCTTAGGATGTCTGGTTGATGCAAAACTTATCGTGTACTTAATATAGTTTATATTCTCCCAGGTCTTGAGAGCTACTCTGTTGCCTTGATTAAGTGTCCACTGAGCTCTGTGTTGTGCCTCTGGAGGCTGACTGCAAAGTCTGACACAATCACTCTTGGCTCCACTCTTGCTTTCCAGGGTTGGGGAGCTGAGTACCATCGCCAGGATGTCACGAGCACCCCCTGCTGGATTGAGATTCATCTTCACGGGCCACTGCAGTGGTTGGACAAAGTTCTGACTCAAATGGGCTCTCCACATAACCCGATTTCTTCTGTGTCTTAATAGTTAAGTATTAATCCCCATTTTTATAGAACAGATGCTGTTGCAGACAGTGGCTTATATCATTTCAGATTTGCAACTAAAGTGTCTAAGTATATCTGTAAATACATAATATATACTGTTCATCTGTTTTATCACCACTTATTTTCTGCTTTCTAGTTAAGCTGATGCCATAGAAAAGCAGGTTTTTTTGCGCCTATGATGTAAGAAGCAGCAGCTCCTTTTGTGGGAGGAAACAAAGAAAGGCAACTCTTTCAATATCTAAAGGTTTTTGGTATAACAAAAGGCAGCTTTAGTCAGCAACGTCAATATAAGGCAGGTTGTGTCGCCCACCAGAAAAATACTAAAACTGTTTATACAGCAAAAGTCGGGTACTAGCAGCACTAGAGTAAATAATACTTTTAGACAAAATGTAGCAATCAAACTCATTTAATTTAAATTATTTCACTTTTAGTGCTATTGGCAAGAAAAAAAATAAGCTTATACAATCAGTTATGTAAGATAAGACACATAAACTTTATTTCTGAAGTTGAAATGCTTATACTTGGACAGTTGTGCTCATATTTTTATTTATTTTTTATTATTTTTATTATTTTTTTTAGAGAAACATCTTTTATTTGGGGAACATATACCAAAAACAGATCAGTAAGTAAAATAGATTCTAGAGAATATGGCCCTGTGCCCAGCCCCCCACTGCCACCCCCAGTAACTCTGGGGGTGAACATTCCCCATGTCCCCTTGGGCTTCTATGATATAAAAAGTTTTGGCTCAATGTTTATCACCTGTGGCATATGGGCACCATATATCCATGTTCAGTATTCCTAGAGTGCAGCAATGGTAGGGCCCTCAGAGCTGCCAACCCTCCCTCCACTCCAACTCAACATTTCTGCCCCACACTGGAAGAATCTGGGAGTAAAATAAGGAGCAAAAGGACCCCTTCACTGAGGTGCTGAGCAAGGGCTCAGTGCATCACTGTGCTTTGAGAAAGAGGGAGGGCATTTTATTTGGCACTTTAAAAATAGAGTGAGCAGAACTGGGGAAGCCAGAGAAGGTACCAATACTGGTAGAAAGAGGCCAGTTGGCACTAGTGTCTTGGGTGAAGAGAAGGAGAAAGATGTGAGAATAGGAGTAAGAAAATTAGGAGGGATCCACTTCTAATGACAGAGAGCTGAAATGGGCTAGAAACAAGAGAATTGCTGACTCTGGTCTCTACTTCCATCCCAAAGCCTCCCCAGTGTCAGTTTGTCCCTGTGTAGTGTCTGCCCAATTCTAGTGCTCAGTGTCTTCCCTAATACTAATGCCTCTTGATCATGTCTTTAGTGACTTGATCTTGTTTTGTCCCTTGAGCCTGGGGATCAGACTTTTGTCTACCCACTTCTTTCCCATTGGTCAGATTGTCCCAAAAGCTCCATCCTCACCTCTCAGAACTCTTTGGACCTACCTTCCCCATTCTTGAGGAGGGAAGGTAGGTCAAGGGCACCTGGTTCCCAGACTCCCCCTGCCCCTCTTGGAGCCTCTTAGACTTGGATTAAGAGTAGGCCAGTCGGAAGGGCAAAGCCTGATAGGAGCAGAATGACCTTGAGGATCCTCTTGTCAGAAGTGGCCAGCTCCTGGGGCAGGATTTCCAAGTAAGTGATACAGAGAAAGGTGCCAGCTGCCATGCTCTCCAGCACAGACTGGGCCAGCTGGTGCAGTGGGCCAGCTGATTCTGCCAGAGCCGCACCCAGCCCAATGCCCAGAGGTGTCATACATGAGAAGAGAATGCCACAGCCAGCTACTACCTTTGCTCTCAGGTGGCTCTGCAGCAGCCTCAGGGACAAAGCTAACGGCCAAAATAAATACCCTTATGGAACAGCAGACCCAGGCACAGCTCCATGGCCCGAGCCCAGTCTCGCTGCAGCCCCACCGCCAGCCCCTCAAACACTGAGTGCAGAGCCAGGGAGAACACAGGCACGCAGGGCTGAGGGAGCTGCCAGAGCTCCGATCGCCTGTGGGAGGCCTTGCCCGTCGTGCCAGTGCTGCGGCCCACCATTCGTTGTTCCCAGCAGCGCCCTTGTCTCCTCTCGAGGTGGTGGCACCGACTGCTCCCTGTAAGCCAGCATGATCTGCTCCATCACCAGGACCAGGAAGAAGCCCATGGCCACTTCCTGAAGCGTCATGTGCAGGGCTGCCAGGGAGACAGGTCCAGGAGGCAGGTAGCCAGAAACACACACACACACACACACACACACACACACACACCGGCAAAGCAGCTTACCAGGCCCAGGGCTTTCTGGCGGAAGGAAGGCCGAGGCTTCGGGGTTCGCTCCGGGTCGGCGTAGCACACAGATGGGCACCAGACTGCAGATGAGCGTGAGCACCAGCAGGAACACCAGGGCCCCCAACTTCACCTCCAGCCCCACAGGCAGTGGGGGGTGCGAGGCGACTGCCTCTGGGCGCCACACCAGGAGCTCCGGTTCTCCCCAAGCCCCATGGTGGACGGGGTTGCTCCACTGACTCTCAGACCTCGCGAGGGTCTCACTCCGTGGCACCCGCGGGGTTCCGGCCTCCAGCCGGGAATTCCCCTGTGCTCATATTAGTGGTTCATTTTAAACAAATTTAGACTGTAATTGGAAAAGAAACTGCAAAGCTGAAGTCTGTTCCTTCATAATCTACTACTGTAAAAAAGCAATAAGTCTAATATGGCAATATAAATATGAAAATAGCATGAAATGAGCTGTATTCCCAAATTGTAACACCAGAACTTAGTTACAGAATCACCCAAGGAGATTCCTGCTTTCCACATAGGAAACGAGCCTCCTGTTTAGCTGGCTGTTCATGCAGACAATCCTGCATGAACAGCCAGGGAGCTCTAAGACCAGGCAGCTCTAATCCTGCATGAATCTGCAGAGGGAGCTCTAAGACCAGGTGTGTAGATCCTGTATGAAGAAGAAGCAGGTAATAACAGGAGGGTTGGACAAAAGCATTGTATGTTTACTTCCACCTTCACACATTCCCACATTAAAAGTGTCTGGGCGATGGCCCTTCTTTTGCCTTATTTTCCTCACCCGTTGGCAAATATTAACTATTTATAGGTCATTAAAACAATGGTGAAGACTTGAGAAAATCAAGACCATTACTGAGATCAATTTATGAGTTATTTAACTTAGTATCTCTATTGAATAAATTATTTACTGGTCAAATCTGGTAGGCTCTTATAAAGCTAAATTCTCACACCTGGAAATAACTTCCCAAGTAAAGTGATAATAATTTCATAATCTATACAATTTCTGGGGAACAGTAGTATTGAATAATAGGATATTAAAAAAACACAATGTTTAAAAATTGTTCTTATTTACCCTTGGATAATAAAGAGGAAAATCCCCCAAATTTCTAGGTACTCTTAAATATGTATATATAAGTTCTACCCACTAAACACTGCATTGCTTGAAAAAGTATATCACACCCTCTTAAAAATTTATAATTTAAGAAGGCAATTATGCTTGTACTTCAGTAATTCAAGAGGTTTATTCATTAATACATTCTATCTCAACTCTTTGTAACTTAGTGAACACAGTAGTTATTTCTCATTAAATTGTATTCAAGATAGAAATGATGATGTGAAAAAAATGAGTGAGTTACTACTGTCACCTCTTATGACTAGTGTTATACAATAGAAACTTTCATATATACAATAGAAAGTAAATATTACATTTTACATGAAGACTAGATAACCTATTTAGTGTTTAGAAAACCCTGTAGTTCATTGGTTAATCAACTATAAATTGTGCACCTGTATGTTCCAGGTACAATGTTAGGTGCTGTAGAATCAAATGTAAATAAGAGACAGCCCAGCCCTTGGGCTGAGAGTTTAATACTATATGTTTGTGTAGACATCCTCATATTTCAGAATTTGCAAAGCAAAACAGAACATACCATTTTTCTTGACTTAAAAAATGTATTGGTTTCTTAATTATCTCTTTTAAATCATTTGCCTTCTCTTCTGAGCATTTAGGTTTTGGATAAAGACTTCCTTGGGTAAATGCTACTTTTCTTCTGCCTAGTTTTTCTCCTCCTGTTCCTTCTATTTTCTAATAGTTTTCCATCTCCCATTTTCCTGGAAAGGGCATTAATATGGTGAATCTTTTTTTATACAAATATCATTCCATGAGAGAACAGCAAGTACACCACATGGTTTTTTATCCAGAGATCAAACATAACTTTCTTGATTTTCTGAGCCCTTAACCGGTTTGGCTCAGTGGATAGAGTGTCGGCCTGCAGACTGAAAGGTTCCAGGTTCGATTCCAGTCAAGGGCATGTACCTTGGTTGCGGGCATATCCCCAGTAGGGGGTGTGCAAGAGGCAGCTGATCAATGTTTCTAGCTTTTTATCCCTCTCTCTTTCTCTCTGTAAAAACTCAATAAAAATATATTTTAAAAATTATCCTCTGATAATCTTATACCTTTACAGAATTAATCAAAACTGATTATTTGTAAATGACATTTAAAAAACTTGAATTTGTATACAATTTTTAGAAACTGGGACAAAATATTCCAGAGTTACTTATTTGAAAATAAATAATTAAAATGGTACATAAACATCATCATCATTTATGTCTTTTTAAAAGCCTTTGTTTGGATATGTGTGAAATTCAGAGAATTTAGAATTGATGAGAGGTGAACCCTTTAGTCATTGTAACAGTCACATTTTAATCAGTCTTTAAAATTTTTTTTGCTGGAAAAGTTTCCCAAAGCTATAATGTAGTATTTTATTTTAGAATTAGAGGCCCAGTGCACAAATTTATGCACCAGTGGGGTCCTTTGGTCTGGCCTGCAAGATAGGGCTCAAACTGGCTCTGATATCCCTTGAGGGTCCCGGATTGCAAGAGGGTGCAGACCAGGTCAAGGGCTCCCTCAGGTGCACAATCAGGGCCTATCTAGCTCAGTCTCAATCAGCCAGACCCCAGAGCAAGCTAACCTACCGCTCGGAACATCTGCCCCCTAGTGGTCAGTGCATATCATAGCAAGCAGTTGAGCAGCCTTAGCATATCATTAGCATATTATGATTTGATTGGTTGAACAGCTGACTGGTTGACTGGACACTTAGCATATTAGGCTTTTATTATGTAGGATTACAAATGTGTTCATTGCATTCATTTCTTGAAGTATTATAGACAATACAAAAAAAGTAATAGTATTCTTTTATAGGTTAAGTAGAAAAGTGGACATGCTAAGCCAGAAAATACATCAGTGATGCTAAACATGTTCAACATTGCCATGGACAAGGGTTATACATAAAGAATAATAACATTCCCTATGTCACAAGACACAGAATTTTATCATATTGTTTAAGCCTGTTTTTTTGTTTTTTTGTTTTTTTGTATGTTTTTTCCTTATTAAAAAAATTGATAGGTGGCTCTAGCCAGTTTGGCTCAGTGGATTGAATGTCAGCCTGTGGACTGAAAGGTCCCAGATTCAATTCCAGTCAAGGCCACATGCCTGGTTGCAGGTTCTATCTCCCCAGTGGGGTGTGTGCAGGAGGCAGCTGATCAATGATTCTCTCTCATCATTGATGTTTCTACCTCTCTCTCCCTCGTCCTTCCTCTCTGAAATCAATAGGTGATATTTTAATAGATATTAAGCTATATTCAAAATGTCAGAGTAGCAGAAGTCA